ACAAGCTACCAATATTAAGGACAGGAGTACATGGTTGAGCAAAGTGTTCTCCCTTTGGTGTTCCTAAGCCCAGCTTGCTGTGGGAGATCAGCTGGGTGTCATGTCCAGGATTGCCAGGCGTTTATCATAAGGGAAGCTATGGCAGCTGCCTGTAAGGGCCCCCTTTATCAGCTCATTGAAAACAACTTCCCAGTCTGGGACACGGAGTCTCCAAAGCACCCGCCCCCCCCTTATAACTCTTCCCTGGGAGCATCATTCTCCTCAGAGCCCTTACCAGCAGCTGCTGTAGCTTCTTTACTGCGTGGCTTCCCCTCTTCCCAAGTGCCAGGTCTGCAGACCTTCCAAGAGTAAGATGAAGCCTTTCCTCTTTGAACTTACTTAGGAAAATATTTTTCCCTTAGCTAGACGCTATGCGGCAGGTCAGTATCCCCGTTTAAGGAGCTCCTGATTTCTGCCGGGTGCTCTAAGTGTTTGCTATTTTGCTATTTCTTTTTCTTTTCTTTCCTTCATATACAGTATGCCTGATTTATTTGGGAAAAGAGAGGAAGTCTTTGGCTTCCATTTCTGTAATAGACTTTGATCGAGTCGAGTTCTCAGTTTCTTTTTGTGCTGATAATAGCATTTTATATATTGAGAATTTATTGCATTTAAAATTCATTAGTGTGAGAGGTTTTATTTTCAACTTTTGTATCTTATTGTTTAAATGATCTCTTGGTAACATATTGGGTCTGTTTTTATTTTATTTATTTATTTATTTTAAAGATTTTATTTATTTATTTATTTGAGAGAGAGAGAATGAGAGATAGCACAAGAGAGAAGAGGGTCAGAGGGAGAAGCAGACTCCCCGCTGAGCAGGGAGCCCGATGTGGGACTCGATCCCGGGACTCCAGGATCATGACCTGAGCCGAAGGCAGTTGCTTAACCAACTGAGCCACCCAGGCACCCTGTTGGGTCTGTTTTTAAAAGTTCTATCTGAGAGTCTGTATCCTAATGAGAGCATTTAGCCCATTTATATTTATTTTATAATTGGACTTAGTTGGCCATCTTCATATTTTCCATTTATATACCTTATTTCCTACAGTTCTTAAAACAACCTTGTGTAATATGTCAACATTTATACCTTCATTTTATTAATGAAGACAGTGAGGGTCCAAAAGGTTAAGTTGGCTTACCTGGCTCACAAGGCAGACAAATGACCTAGCTGGGCTTCAAACACAGAGCAGCCTGACCTGCAGCCCTCCTCACATATACTGACTCATTTCTGACACTGTGGGGTACAGGGAGGTAGAGAAAGTTTTTGGAAAAAGTGTTCCAGGCTTTTCTCTATAAGAACTGTCTTTTAAAGGTGTTTGTTTGGCTTCTAGGGAGTCCACTTCCTTTAACCCAGACACACAGAAAGAAAATACTCTTGGCTCTTTTCAGAAATAAAAACTTGATTTTTATATCCATCTTGACTTCTCAAAAGTGCCTGGTCACTCCCTTTCTCCTTTTTTTCTCCCTTAATGTCCCTTCAGCAATCCCCCCATTTGTCTCTGCCTCCCCCAACATCCACCTCAACTTTGGTCCCATTTCCTCCATTTTTTGGGAAGATTTTGACCTTTTATTTTTAAATTTTATTATGTTATGTTAGTCACCATACAATACATCATCAGTTTTTGATGTAGTGTTCCATGATTCATTGTTTTCATATAACACCCAGTGCTCCATGCAGTACGTGCCCTCCTTAATACCCATCACCAGGCTAACCCATCCCCCACCCCCCTTCCCTCTAAAACCCTCAGTTTGTTTCTCAGAGTCCATAGTCTCTCATGGTTCGTCTCTCCCTCCGATTCCCCCCCTTCATTTTTCCCTTCCTTCCCCTAATGTCCTCCATGCTGTTCCTTATGTTCCACAAATAAGTGAAACCATATGATAATGGACTTTCTCTGCTTGGTTTATCTCACTTAGCATAATCTCTTCCAGTCCCATCCATGTTGATGTAAAAGTTGGGTATTCATCCTTTCTGATGGCTGAGTAATATTCCATTGTATATATGGTCCACATCTTCTTTATCCATTCATCTGTTGAAGGGCATCTCGGCTCTTTCCACAGTTTGGCTATTGTGGACATTGCTGCTATGAACATTGGGGTGCACATGGCCCTTCTGTTCACTACATCTGTGTCTTTGGGGTAAATACCCAGTAGTGCAATTGCTGGGTCATAGAGTAGCTCTATTTTTAATTTTTTGAGGCACCTCCACACTGTTTTCCAAAGTGGCTGTACCAACTTGCATTCCCACCAACAGTGTAAGAGGGTTCCCCTTTCTCCACAACCTCTCCAACATTTGTTGTTTCTTGCCTTGTCAATTTTTGCCATTCTAACTGGTGTAAGGTGGTATCTCAGTGTTGTTTTGATTTGAATTTCCCTGATGGCTAATGATGATGAACATTTTTTCATGTGTCTGTTAGCCATTTGTATGTCTTCTTTTGAGAAGTGTCTGTTCATGTCTTCTGCCCATTTTTTGACTTGATTATTTGTTTTTTGGGTGTTGAGTTTGAGAAGTTCTTCATAGATCTTGGAAATCCTGTTTCTATGTGAGAACTTTCCACTTAGGTGGCCTCTCCGATCCTTCTAGATTAAAACTCCAAGTAGGCTAAGTCTACCTTTACACAGACCCCATCATTAGCATTTCTTTTTGAAAAAACTTGATTGAATTAGAAACATAAATTCAAACCAGCATCTGGAGTCTTCAGAGAAAACTCATGAGAAAATATTAGGTGTAACACAACAAAATAATTACTCCAAATTGGGTCTGGTTAATAATCGGTAAGAAGACTGTTTTATATATATAAATTAGGGAACAAATCCAAGATTTAGCACCCTCCGAGATAATTATCTTGCCTTCCCTGGAACCAGTTTTTATGTCCTCAGGAAAGATCTATAGTTCAAATAAGCAGCAGGAACAAATTAACTGCCAAGAGCTGTCCTCTCAGTGATGCTGTTGATAGCCATGTTAAGATAATTATAAATCTATTAGAAAGTGAGACATCACTGATTTGTTTAAGGGTTTGAGGTAAGAGATTCCAATTAAACTATGAAAATGCCTTCTATGGCCCATTCAATACCATAAAATGTAACTTGATTTGAGTCTCTTAAAAAAAAAAAAGCATCCGTAAAACAGTCCTTTTTTCAATAATACTTGTTGCTTTCCCTTGAACATTATTAGAGCCTGGCTACGAATTGGAAAAGACCGACACCGAGAATTTAAATTATCATTTTATATTTTTATAATTAGGAAGAAAAGATGGATAATTTCCATAGTAGATGTGAATGGAAACTTAATTTTATGGGATGTCTAGATTATCACCATTCTAAATAATTTCCCTTGCTTGCTACAACTCTTTCCTTAATAAAATGGGTTAGCTTATTTAGTAAATTGAATGACATTATCATATCTATAGAGTAAAAGGTTTGATGATATCTATTATCACTGGTTTATACACACTATTCTCTTCCTCCACTCAGTGAAATTTGATAAGGATATTGAATTAGCTACCTTTGTGATTGTGTCAAGATTAAACAAAGCTATATCTCCATAGCCCAGAACTGTGTTCCTCTCTGCTTTTTCTAGCCATTTTAGTGGTCCTCCATATTTCTATGTTGTCAACATGAACTCCCTGTATGTTGTTTTTTGATTTGCTTCAGACTATAAGAGTGAATCAGAATTCTGCAGTAGGCCCTGCGTTTTCTGCATTTCACATTTCTGAGGGGCCTGTTCTTTTTCTATTGCTTCTATTAATACCCTGCACTAGTGAAGGCCTCTCTACTAGGCTCCCTTTTTATATAGAAGAACTTTGGTTTTGCAAACACATATCTGTCTTGTGCCTTATTCACTCAGAATTTTATTCTTAGTTATTTACTCTGATAAAATTGTTCCTGCAATAATGCAATGTAACTGACAATGATGTAGTGGGTTACTTCATAATATCTTAATTTTAATTGAGACCACAGCTGTTGTAGTCTTAAAATGTGAACAATTGTGGAAATCTTCATACCATATTAAAGTTAAAATCCTTCTGGAGAGGAGGCTTTAGTACCTTCCACATCGTCAGATCATTTATAAAGGAGTTCTTAGTGAAATTCATAATTCAAGTCCAGGGCCTTGCTGGAGAAGTTCCGTGACGCAGTTGGCAGGAATTTGGAAGCAGGGTGCATCATTAGGAAGGGGTGCTGATGTCCTTCCCCCACCTCTCATTCTACCCCAGCTGATGCCAACTTCAGCTGCAACAAAATTTCAAATGCACTTACTTCTCCAGACTCAGTAGCTCCTCTTTCTAGTGGATGGCAAAGTGTAAACTCACCTTTCAGTTACAGTCCCTTTTAGTTCCTGCTTCGGAGGTGTTGACCAGAAGTGTGGTCACAGATTCAAGTGTGCTCAAATTTCCAGGAGTTCCTTCAGTTTTTGTTAATGCACTTCCTCCTCTGAAGATTTCTAGAATTTTTCAAATTCCTTATTTTCTTCTTAGATCTACTCTCCTGTATGTTTCTACTTGAATTTAGAAGTCTATATTCCTTTTTTTAAGATTTTATTTTTGTCAGAGAGAGAGAGCGCAAGAGCGCACAAGCGGGGGGAGGGGCAAAGGCAGAGGGGAAAAGCAGACTCCCCGCTGAGCAAGGAACCTGATGCGGGACTCCATCCCAGGACCCTGGGATCATGACCCTAGCTAAGGGCAGGTGCTTAGCCAACTGAGCTCCCTAGTTGTCCCTGAAGTCTGTATTCCTTATCAGAATCATAACCCAGTAAAATACAGTCAATATAGTTCTGATGCTCTAAGGGTTCTGCAGTTATCTCTCAGATACAAAATATTCTGTGTATCATGAACAAATATCCTGATTAAATGCTTATTAGGGGTACTCGTCTTCTGTTTTAAGTGTTGTTGTTTGTTTTACAAATTACCATTTCTAACATGTTTAATATTTTCATTCTAGCCATTTATAAATGTTGTTTCTTATTACCTCAGGTGGAAGAGGCCCTGGAAGCTGTCAAAAATGCTACTAATGAGCAAGACCTTGCAAATCGCTTTAAAGAGTTTGGGAAGGAAATGGTGAAACTTAACTATGTAGCAGCAAGAAGACAACAGGTGGGAGAAGTTTTGGAAATGCTCGGGGAGAAAATGTGTTTAACCTCTTAGCTTGATAGGTCTGAACAACAGATCAGTCTCATCTGCTCGTGATCAAGTATCAAATGCCCTCAGAACCTGTAATTAACAAAGGCTGCCTTCTACATGGGCCAGTTTTCATACCACTATGGGCCCTCGGGTACTCTCTGGCCTCTGCCTACCTGGAGTAGGTCATAGGCCTCCTGTTTGACTGGTAGGAACCACGCTAACCTTTTTGCCACTGTAGGAAAAGCTCCCCAGTTAAAATATCAAACTTTGGTGTGGTGCTATGGATGCTGTCTGGATGCCACCCCTTTACTTGCCCTAATTTTGTATTTCCTATTTAATTTAAATTATCATTTTATATTTTTATAATTAGGAAGAAAAGATGGATAATTTCCATAGAAGATGTGATTGGAAACGATTTTATGGGGAGTCTAGATTATCACCATTCTAAATAATTTCCCTTGCTTTCTACAACTCTTAATAAAATGGGTTAACTTATTTAGTAAATTGAATGACATTATCATATCTATAGAGTAAAAGGTTTGATGATATCTATTATCACTGGTTTATACCACTATTCTCTTCCTCCACTCAGTGAAATTTGATCCTTATCAAATTGAATACTTAAGACACCGCCATGCATATGCATAGCCAAAATGTGCAGCATTTTGAGTTAAACCTTTATGAAAGATAAGAAAATGCGAAGAAAATTCAAGGAAAGGCAGAGAGAGAAAGGGGTGAGGTATGGGATAACACACGTGAGTGAGTTACTTTGAGGAAGGTGGCTCACAGGGGATCTTGTGTCTCCCTTTGTCTCAAGATAGCACCCTCAATTTTATCAGGTCTACTCATTAAGTACCATTAGAATTTTGTTCTCAAGGGGTGTGTTTTATTTTATTTTATTTTTTTCCCTAAAAAAACCTCTCCAAATGTGGAGGGGTCCATTAAAATCCTTTCCACCCATCCTCTTGACTGTTCCTAGAATTCAACATTTGGGGCAATTCCTAGTGCCTTAAGATTGTCTATGACCAACAAGGAAGTTCCATTCAACACCCATGGGTTGAGTGTTCATCAGTGCCATGCTGAAGGAACACTGGTATTATAAACCTGGTCAGGATCTAGTTCCTGCCCCTAAAATGCTTACTGTATTCTTTGTGTGAGAGGCACACACATGTGATTTTAGATTACATAGTGATATTTAAGTATTTTGTAATTAGCAAAATTCAAGTGAGATCTTGTGTAATAGTCCAAAGCGTAAGATGGGTGAAGGAGTGAAGTTACTCTGAAGCACAAATGTGAGACCAAAAAGCTACCTAACTTATTTAAACAACTGAAAAGAAAGAAAGGAAAAAAAAAAAGACATTGAATCTTGATCTTAGTGACCAAAATGGGCAGTTGGCAAGAAAGGTAGGGGCCTTTGTCTCCTTTGTCTCCAAATGAAGAACATTCAGAGTCTTGGAAAATATTTGGATTTTATTGTAAGTGGGTGGGTAGAATTTGAGTAGTTCAAAATTTGGTATCAGGGTCTAAAACCAGTTCAGTTCTAAGGTTCTGGTTTGAGCAATTGGGTAGATGGTAGTGAATTTATAGAGATGGAGAAGACTGGGTCAGTTGGGTATAGAAATTAAGATTTCATATTTAGATACATTGATTTTTTTTTTTTTTGAGATCCTTGAACTCTCCATGTAAAAATGTCAAAAGAGAGGGTTGGAGATGGAAAAACCAGTCATCAGTATATGTAGTTGGGTATTAAAATTGATGGGAATGTATGAGATATTTATGAGAATATATATTTCATATATTTCATTAATACATATATTTCATTAATACCTTGTTTTTAATTAACTGCTAGACTCTTCCAAGAAAATTTAGAAAAGTAGAATTGGAAGTAGGAAAAACACGTAACACCCTACCACCCAAGGAAAAAAAAATGGTGCAGTTTTGGCATATTGCCTTTCAGTTATTTATCTTCATATTTTAAAATACTTATAATACTACTTTTCATATAAGTATGCATATTGTGTTCTGCTTTTTCATTTATCTTATAAATATTATCCATATTTGTTAAAAATGAATTCTAATATCCACAGTCTACCAAATGCTTCTGTCATTTACTTAACCGATTCATAATTCAACATTTAGATTTAGATTGTTTGCAGGGTTTTTTTTTTATGTAATTAAAGAATGTTTCCTCAGATAGTTTTATGGAGAGAATTACCCCATCCATCTCTCACTTCCACATTTAGGTTTTTCTTAAGTAACTTCTAATTTCTGGACCGCTCTTGTGGAAGTTAAAAAGGCCCTTCATGACTAGTCATGAGAAACCTACTTTCAATGCCTAGATTATTGCCTGGCATAGAGAATACACTCAGGTGTTAGTTTCTTATTTGTGTTCATGTTGAGAGCTAAAAATTAAAAAAACCCATATCCTATTGGCTGGCATAAATTTGTCGGTACATAAGCAAAAGAGGATAGATGGTTCAGTTAATTATTACATACTGTCAGTTTAATCTTGACAATCCTGGATAAAATATAATGTGCTTGTCTCAGAATTATTTTGACTAATAAAAGAGAAGATGTCATTGTTGCCAAGTCATTTATATATGACATACCAAACAAACAAATAGAAATTGAACCTCAGTGGTTCAAGTAATCTTTAATGATGTTTTGAAGCTGGGGGAAAAAAAAATCTCTCCGAGATCCTCAGCTGGCAATCCTATATGGTCTCAGAGAGCCACACTGCCTTTAACATTTCCATAAATGATGTGAACATTTTCTTAACAATACTCTTTAAAGCTGAAGATCAAGAGACTCTCCAGTGGTGGTATTTTGACAGCCAAAACTAGAAAGACAAATCATCTTTGATCTATTTTTATTCCCTATAAGCTCAATGATTGAGCTGGCATTAAAGGTAGCTTAAAAAAAAAAAATGAACCCTATTCCAGAAATGATAATGCAGTGGCAGTGATGGACTAAGCAAAAATCAGAAGAGTCTGATTGCCTATGTCTGTAATTGTAATTGAATACGGGGGCAAGCATTATCAGAAGACTGAAGTTTGGATTTTCCTTCTGCTGCTAATGAACTCTGATCCATGCAAGCTACTGACTGTCAGTAGCTTGATTTTTTTCTTTTTTTTTTTAACCTTTTTCCCAGCAATACTTGAGTGCCTTTTATGGGCCAAACAGTGCTAATGAGTAAAGAGCCACTAAACAAGACAGACAAGGCTTCCTGCGATCACTAGACACAATACATTAGGGAAATGTGTTGAAATAAATACAGTAAAGTTTAATAAGTGTTGATAGGAGGGAGTAGGGGCATGTGGGAGCAGATAGAAGAGGGCATAGCTTAGAGAGCAGGATGGAGCATGTTCCAGGAGGATCGGCCATATCCGGTGAAAGGGTAGATGGAGGAGGAGTGCTCAGGTACTTCATACAGAAGGATTACATGCAAAATCCCAGCACCTAGAGTGAGCGCCAGGAAGAGTAGATGGTTTCTAAAATTCAGTAGGGTTTCTAAAATGGAGTCTGTGACCCTAAGTTCTAGAACAGATGCTTCTCGGGCAAACTTGATGGATGTGCCACGTTTCCTATGTTGTGTACGCAGGAGCTGAAGGACCCCCACTGCCGGGATGAGATGGCCGCTGCCCGAGGGGCTCTGAAGAAGAACGCCACAATGCTGTACACGGCCTCCCAAGCCTTTCTCCGCCACCCGGATGTTGCTGCCACAAGAGCCAACCGAGATTATGTGTTCAAACAAGTCCAGGAGGCCATTGCTGGCATCTCCAATGCTGCCCAGGCTACCTCGCCCACTGATGAAGCCAAAGGCCACACGGGCATCGGCGAGCTGGCTGCAGCTCTGAACGAGTTCGATGTAAGTGTCTGAGTGATGCACGTGGAGCGGTACCCACTTGCCCTGACGGAAAGGATTTGGGGATGAAGGGCCTCAGTAGTACGCCTGGATTTCCCTCTCTTGCTTGTGATAGTAGGGTGAACGACCTAATGTGTTTGTTATTAGGAATCCAGCATAGTGGCAGAGCCTAGTTTTCTTGCATTGAAAGACTCTAACAACGGTGTTTAAGAGTACCTGATCCAATGCAAGCAGAAGCCCTGTAAACTGTTAGTTTCCTATCCCACTGGCTATTTTAGGGACCGTTCATCATTTGGTTGGTTCTTTACTTTTAAAGGGGCAAATGTCCTAGGCAGTATAGGCACATCTTGCCTCTATGTTGCACCCGGGTGAAGAACTGCCCTCTGTGTCTTCATTTTAAATGAGTGATAAACTGTTGCCCTCTGATCCCACATGGGATCCCTGTCTTGCTTGAATTGACTCCTCTGGGTAGCACCTGTGTTGGACCCATGAATGACCCACATGCTGCACCGGCTATTTCTGGGGGTGTGTCCCAGTGAGGGAAGCAATGGGAGGATGGCATCAAAGTGAATGAGAGGGATGCGTGTAATCAAGACCCCAGGATGACAGCCCTCACTTGCCTTGGGTCAGGATATGGGCCCACCTAGGGGAAGCTGGAATTCATCTGAGTTCATCCTGTGTTCAGTGTGAGAGCCTACGTGTGTTGGAGAGCTACCAGGATTTAAAATCTGTATCTGTTTTCAAGGGTATTATTTTCCTACAGGGAGATGGGAGAAGTAGAATGTATTAAATACCTTTTAAATGATAAAACACAGCATTATAGGAATTCATAAAAGAAAAATAGGTTACTTAATAGCTGTGGAGAAGGATGATGAGCTTGCTTTTGGATCTGTTGACATGAATTTTTCATTGGGCATGAGTGGCTGGGAAAGAAGATCAGGAACAAAGCAGTGATTGCTAAAGACCTAAAGTGGAGAGAGACAATGGAGGAATAATTATAACACTTCAGATAGCCATTTGCAATTTTCACAGGGGTCTCTCCTCTTTTATTTTTTGTTAGTCAAAATATCCATAGCTTAGACTGTATATTCTTTCCTAGGGTTTTTTAGTAAGGATTAAATATAATTTAAAGCATTTACCACAGAAATTGGGGTTTAATACATAATTCACAAAGTGTCAGGAGACAACTGAAAATCCATTGTAACAAAGAGTTCAGTAAGGTCATTAGTTTTAAAATATAAGAGAAGTCAATAGATTTCCCAGGTGCAAAAGCGTAGAATAATGGAAAGACAGATCCTGTTGACGAAAATGAGCAATAATTTGTTGGCTTTATTTTATTCCTTAATTTATTTCCTTATATATGTTAGAAATAATCCTGATACAGATGTGGAAAACCAAAAAAAACACCAAAAAACAAAAAACCACCAAGTGGTACTTTTTGTACTTTCAGTTTGTTTCGTGCTTAGGTTGTACAATAAAGTTGTACTTTTTGGTAAATGGTGTCATGATCCTGGGTAGGAAAACTATTGACTCTTAATTTTTATAATGTTCAGACAATTCTGATAAAAATTTTGACTTCTTTTGAAACTTGAGAGAGTAATGATAAAAGTTTATATCTGGAATAAGAATGAAGAAGCCCAAATTTTAAGGAAATGAAAATGAGCAGGTGATGTACTCAGATATTAAAACATTATAATGCTACATTAATTTTAAAAGTGTGCATTAGACCAAAAAATGCCTAATCAAACAGAATAGAAAATTTCAAAACAATCTCAAATACAGAATTACTTTATGAAATAGTACTTTTTAAAATTCATTAATAGGTGGACTATTTAGTCAGATTTTGACACAACTGTATTTTTAAAATCCTATTTTATAATCAAAAAGTAAATAAAACCTGTGAGGACCTAGTAATAGAGTAGAAACATAGCATACAGAGAACTCACTTGAAAGATAGACCCTTCAGCTGCTGCCGGCTTCTGCTGGAGTAGAATAGCTTCCCTATCACTTTGTGTCCAGAATCTTTTCACTGAAAAGAGCTTTTGCTCAAAATGAATTTAACAATTGAGTCATCATTGTAATAATACAAAAGTCTTTGGACTCATAAAACTTAAGGCCATGTGGGGAAAATCTACTAACAGAGTATGTTGACATATATTAAACTTTCAACTGGCATTTTTGTTTGTTTTTTGACTGTAGCCATATACTGGACAAATAGGGCTTTGGAAAGTTAATACATGAATATAACTTTTTTTTATAGAACATGGTGTATTAACTAATCACTATATTTTATTAACTTCAAATAAGTAATTTTTCTTGCATTAAGTGTGTATGTTAACTAATTATATATTAGCTAAATATATTAACCAAGTAATTGTTCATTATTTAAATGTATACATGTTCTCAAGCTATGTAAATTGCATAAAACATTATCTGATGTTTAAAATTTTATTTCTCGGATGTTGACAAAAATCAACATGTGGAGCCACGTAAATTGGTAATTTATAGATAGTAATTCCATTTGGTGTGGTTCCCTAAAAATTTAGTTAATGAAATTTCAGTACTTTTTCAAACATAGTAATGCTAGTAAAGTATTACTATGACAAGGTACAAGGTACAAGGTAATTAACCAATTGTAGATTTTCTATCACCTGACACCAACAAACCTACCTAGTCCTTAACGATACTTGAAATTCTCTCACTAAAAAATAATGTTCTCCTTCTCTTTGTAACAGAATTATACATTTCTGTTCTATGGTTGCATAATGAATACTCTGGTATTCCCGCCCCCACCCCCCCAGGCATATTGACTTGAGATTCGTTTAGAATTCAGACATCTGTCTTGAATCCTAAGTGCTATTCTCAGATATTAAACAAATCGATACCACACTGGGTGGGAAACTCATCCAAACTTCCTGTGACTTATTTTTTGGCAATATCCCCTCCTGATGCTTGGTTTGATGGCTTGCCAGTGTGATGGAGATTGTAAAAAGTGAAGTATGTTTGAGATCCTGAAGTGAAAGGAGCCATACAAATACACGATTTCATCAGCAGCATGGCTAGCATGCTTCTAATGTTGAATTTGAAACACATTTCATATTAGTCTTCAGTGTGCCAAACTCATTTTAATGGGAGGTAGGGTGCAGAAGTGACTTAAAGTGTGATAGTTGACTGAAAGCAAGGTGAAAATTAGTATTTTTACATTAATTTATCTAAAATTACAGGACTGATTTTTCTATCTGGGTAGTTAGAATTATGGCTCAATGCATGGTGACCTATTTTCTGGCACTATTCTTCTGCCTACGTGAATAGTTGATGTAGTGATTTATGAAGCAAGAGAATGAAGAAAAAAACCTAGTATTCTTAACAACTAGAAACTGTCAAGAGAGCCTCTAATGATAAAACAGCAAAAAGAAAATGATTGCTAATCAATGGAAAAATCAGCCTCCGTTTAAAATGTGGCAGCTTGAGGTGGTTAATTTTATCTGGTGAAACTACTAAGGAATACTAAAAAGAATTTGTAAAAAATATAATGACTGCTTAGTAGTAAATCCTGTTATAATGTCAATTTTGACTGCCAGAAAATGTAAGAGTATGAGAGAGGAAAATTAAAAATTATTCTTACAGAACTTCTATTTAAAGAGAACACGTACTGTATCTTGTTTTTTGAAGCTTCTTTTGTAGATGAAGATGCTTTAGAAAAAATGGAAATTAACACCATTCATGACCCAGTCTTTATAATTGATAACTATTTCCCTTTTAAAATTGTTTTCTCTCTTTTTTTAAAGATTTTATTGTGGGGGTGGGGAGCACAAGCAGAGGGAGCAGGAGAGGGAGAAGCAGGCTCCCCACTGAGCAGGGGGCCACATGCAGGGCTCGATCCCAGGGCCCCAGGATCATGACCTGAGCTGAAGGCAGGTGCTTAACCTCCCTTTTGTTTTCTCTTAAATCCTGTAATAAACACTATCTCAAAGTCCTCTAACTTTAAGTTTTCTATATGTAACTTCTTTCCCCACTTGCCCTGGGCATTTGCTTGATTAGTAATTTTTTTTTTTTTTTTGTACATTTAGTTTCTCTTTCTCCACTTGTTCTGTCCCCCCAGCCTGTGGAAAAATTTATTTCTGTTCTACAGCCTAGAAAGAAAATAAAGCATAAGGCTAACATATTTACCTTTTTCTCATATTTTACTATTTTCCTTACAGAGTTCTTTAAGAAGATTCCAGTCCCTAGGGGGCACCTGGGTGGCTCAGATGGTTAAGCATCTGCCTTCGGCTCAGGTCATGATCCCAGGGTCCTGGGATCGAGTCCGGCATCGGGCTCCCTGCTCAGCGGGGAGCCTGCTTCTCCCTCTGCCTCTGCTTCTCTTTCTCTCTCTCTCTCTCTCTGACTCTCATGAATAAATAAACACTTAAGGAAAAAAAAAAAGATTCCAGTCCTTGCTTGCACATGGGTCTTGGCTGCCACTAGCTCTTACCTCTTTGAGCCGTATCCTCTAATCTCTACTCCTGCCCCTCCTCTGTAACGCTGTGTCTGAGTTTTTAAGGACCCCTAAATCTATGTGCTTTTATTTTCTAGTTCTCAACTGTTTCTAGTTCTCTAGTTATTTTCTAGTTCTCAACTTTGGAATGGGGAAATTTCAATAGTACTAACTATACTTTTTTTCTTTGTATTACTTCGAATTTGCAAGATTTAAACATCTATACTTGAAGACTAGGACAGCCTGGCCTCAACCACATTGAGCTGAAATGTCACCATGACCTACCGACTCTACTTAAATTGTCCTTCCTATTTCTACCTGATTTTTTTTATACCCTCCTCCCTCTAGTTTGTTTTTTTCCCTCTCCTGCACACCCTCCTGCCCCCACTTCTTTCTCTTTAAATAGATTTCCTTGATCTAATTGTAATTTTGTACTGATCTAGTATTCAGTGGATAGAAGTGTTGGAAGGTGAGCATAAGGCATGGTGAGACATATGCATCACAGGCCAACAGGGATAGCAAGACT